AAAAAAAAAAAAAAAAAAAAAAAAATGTGGATTGGGTGTCAGAAATAGGACACAAGCATAGCGGGAGAAAGCTACCACTGAACACGCTGCCAGGGTTTTGTTTTTCTGAGTGCACCTTAGAACAGCGGACCTTGGGGAACACACTAGAGGATCTTCAGCATGCCAACACTTCCCAGGCAGCCCACTCCCAGCAAAACAGGCAGTCTGGGACCGTAAACAGCATAAGCCGCAGCAGTTACTATCTGTGTCATTTTGTCACAATCCTTAAATTTTGCAAGCTTTCATCCCCCTGTCTGGAAAAAAAAAATGGTTTAATAACAGCTACCTCGGAAGATTTCTGTGAGATTTCGTATATATAAAATGCTTGGCATGGGACCTGGAGCTCGTCAGCTGCTTCATCGAGATGATTTCTTCACATCAGCAAGGATTTATCGAGCTTCTGCTTTGACATGAGGCCTAAGATAGGTCCCTCGGAGCATGCAGAGAAGGTAGTTTGTGGTTGTTGTTTTAGAGATATAAAACTGGACATGGCTGCTGGGATGTGGGGAGGACTGAAAGGAAGGAATTCCAGGTGAATAGGTTAAATTTGAGGACTACAATACGGTGGGAGTGAGTCGGGGTGTAGTTCAAATATAGGACAACAGACTTGGCTGAGAGGGCTCTCCGCAGATCACTTGGGGTGGTGAGTAAGCATCATGGGCGGAGCACGAGGGCAGATAGGGAAAGTTGCATTTCTAAAGCCAAGAAAGCTGCAGACTGTGGCCGGAGGGCAGTATCCGGTAAGGGACCACAACCCTGGGTTTGGCTAGATGCAGAGTCCGAGAGCGAGAGATCTTGAATTCCAGTTTATATGACAGTTGCGTATCAGCTGAGCATATTCACAGCAGCGGCGGGCCCCTGTGGGTTTGGGATAATTACACGGGTAGCTCAAGTGGAGAGGGTGGAGAGGGTGGCTTTTTAACTTGGAGAGATGTGCCTAACAGTAGGAGGCCCGCTGCTTTCTCCTTTTCTATCACCAGTATCTTCCTCTAGCATACACAGTACAGGGGATTAAAAAAAAAAAAGAACCTCCAAATCTGGCAGAGCTCTTCCTTGGAAACGGACCGTCATTCAGACAGACTGACCCAGGTCTGCCCTGACGTTTCTCCCCTCCTCAGGTGCTAACTCACACTCGGAGTTCCCCTGACACCGCTCACCTCTGGCCGTCGGTGGAAACGGAGAGACTCTCCTTCTGGAATATATGTGCTTGCATCTCGCGCAAAGAAATTGGACAGACCTCCTCCACATCAAAGGGGGAAATTTCATGACGGCCTCCCTCGTCTTTGACTTCAGAGGCAAACACTCTTTCAGCAAAGCTACGCATCGCGTCATCAACTTCTAAAAGAAGTATTCACACATTAGTACTCGGGCCCTTTTCCAAAATTCATGTGAGTTTCTGCTGAGCGCCAGTCATGTGGTAAGTACTGCGGTGGGTACACCACTGCTCTGCTCCCCAGACGGCTGAGACACTGGAGCTTGGTGCCTGCCCTTACGTTAGTGGGTTTTTCTGTACGTGGTTTTGAAATCTGCCTTCAGAAACACACGTCAGAGTCTCATAGCTCGTTTCCGGAGGGCCCTAAAGGAAGTCTGGGCCCTCACAGAACCCACACTTAAGATCACCTGGTTCTGGCAAGGCTGGGCTTGATTTCATAGTAACCGTGCAACAGTCCTTCTCACTAGGTTGGAAGACTTTCTGATGGTTTTGGGTACAGTTATTGGTCCTTGGATTTGTTTTGTTTGTTGTTGTTTTTCCTAAGGAGAAGCAGTGATCCCAGTGGGCACTAGGAAATCAGTCCTTCTGAGAAATAATTGTATCCTCGAGGGCCTTTTTTCCTCTGAAAACGGATAGTGTGCTTCTCTCACATATTAAACCTCACTTCCTCCAAATCCTGACAACTTGATGGAAACGCTATGGGGAGGAAGGGAGCCACTAAAACTTATTACCATATGTTAGAAGGCTCACTTCTGGTGGACATGAGCCGTCCGTCAGGAATGACCATTGGAAGGCCAACTTAATTTTACATGCCTTAACTTTCCCATTCTTAACTTTTTCCTCTCTCTCTTTTTTTTTTTTACACAGTCTCACTTGGTAGCCTAGGCTAGCCTCAAATTCACGGTGATCCTCTTGCCTCAGCCTACTCTTCCCATTCTTAAAATGGCATAGGGTCACCCGTGGCCTGGCAACGACCCAGACCCTCAGGATGTAAGAGAACCAGACTCATCATACTGGGTAGCGAAGGTCATCAAATACCTGCTTTTCTGTTAAGTCCTCCCACTGTACTTACAGCTGACCGTCGTCACCTGTGATACTTCTTAAGGCCTCCTGGTATTCCTGGATAAGAGCTCTTAAGCAACAATGAAAATGGTAACCAGCTAACAATGAAAATGGTAACCAGCTAACTATCTGGGGGCAGTAATAGAAGAGAGAAACATCACCCACAGGGTGGCAGAGTACAGAGTATACAGAGAAGATTCCTCGGTGCCTCGGTGTCTACACAGGCCTCCGAGGGCCACATTTTCCACTCTGACTTGAATAGATGTATTTCAAACCCTGCCCTGCACTCACCGGCTCTTTCCCTATCCTCTTTTTTCAGCTTCCTTATCTACAAACTGGGGACGCTGAGGTCTGCCCGGCCTCACTCACAAGGCTCTTATGACACTGAGTGAGGTGAAGTACGCGGGTATGCTTTCAGGAAAATGAAACATCAAATTCAATTGAACGACAGAATTTGGTAGCTGTGGTCAAAGACATCTTATATTTGGAGTTGACTTGGAGCCATTACAGAAGGATAAATGATGCGACTCAGAATGGGATGTAGGATACATTAGAAATGATAGCAGTTCATTTGTAAGTTCACCAGCACTGACAGGTTAGCCAGTCTTAAAATCCTGCCGTGTCACAGTGGAGTTAATAGAAGAGCCCACTATGTTGGTGGAACTGCAAGCATTCTGTTTGCCTCGCTAAACCCAAACACTTCCTGAAACTGAAAAGCATCTTTGGATGCTATTAGTAGTTCTCTGGCAAGCATTACGAGCCACGAAGGAACAAACAGAACACTAAATAGGTAGGTTAGATGGCTGAGAATACCTCCCCAGCTCGCTGCCAACTGATCCCCAGAAATAGCACCATTCATCCCCGGGCAGCACAAGTAGGCACAGGCATCTCCAAGATGAGCACCAAGCAGCAGTCAGAAGAAGCTTCGCGCACCGCGGAGGGCAAACGGAATTAGGCCAGTTGGCTGTGGCGAAGACAGGGAGGGTGACGATGCAACAGGCTCGTCGTGCTGTGCTGTGGCGGTGCTGCTGATGACCTCAGAAAGGTTAGTACGGGCTCATTTGCTCAAAAGCCAAATGCTATTTGCTCGATGCCTGGCTCTTCCAGAATAAGCATTCATTATCTGCAATAAATATCCATTTGTTTCATTTTTTTTGTTTTTATTTTTTTGGCCCTGGGGATCGAACTTGGAACTTTGCGCTTGTGAGGCAGGCAGCAGAACCACCAAGCTACATCCCCAGGTCCCACGTTGTTTTTTTAATGGTAGTGGGGAGTGAACCCAGGGCCTTGTACATGCTAGTTAAGCGCTCTACCATTGAGCTACACACTTATTGTCTTATACTTTTAAACATTATTGTTTTTACTAAGACTGTGTCTCCCTAAACCACCACAGGCAGTTGAAAAGTAGAAACTCTATTCTCACACAGTTTACCTGATGACTGAAAATTAGATGGTTGATATTTCCTTCCACCGAATCAACAACCAGTTATTTGACTTTGTGCAACCACAGCTGAAATTTGATCCTTAATTCAAGAGCTCTACCTTTTAAAAATACTTCAGGGAATGGCAGTGATTATGGAAACGAAGAGTGAAACTAGTATTTCAAATGATGAGTAGATAAAATTTAATGACAAGCTGACTCAGGAAGTGAAGGAGAAAATAATCCCCTCAGGTTTGTACAGAAATTACTGGCTTTTTAACCATGTTGTTAGGGATAATGGAACATCTAAATGGCAATGTCTTGAGGATAAGACATACGCATTTGGACAGAGAATAGAAACAAGAAAGAGGGGAGGGGAGGAGAAGAGAAAGGAAGAGAAGGAGAGGGAGGAGGAAGAAGAAGCGGAGGAGGAGGAGGAGGAGGAGGAGGAGCAGGAGAGTGAAGCAGAAAGACATTAGGAGTAAAGAAAAGGAAAAGTGGCCGGGCGTGGTGGCGCACGCCTGTCATCCCAGCACTCGAGGCTGAGGCAGGAGGAGTTCGAGAGCAGCCTGGGCTACACAGTGAGTTCCAGGGCAGTCTCAACGACATAGTGAGAACCTGTCTCAAAAAAGCAAAGCAAAACAAAAAAAGGAAAAGTAACCATGACAGCTGTGTGGCCTTGGGCAAACCATGTAATCACTGGGAGCCTCTGCGTTCATCATCATAAAAGGATAATAATAACGACCCTTCAGACTTGAAGATTACGGGATTATTAACATGGGAAGTGCAAGACTCTTGAGAAAAGGGATATCATGCTGCTTTTCGCCCCCAGATCCAGAAAAACATGCTTATTTCTCAGCAGTCTTTTTAGTGTGTAAAGAAGACAAGGCTGTTGGCCTTCCATCTGCTATACCTCAGTTTCCTAGAGGAGTTCAGAGGCAGACCTACTGTACCGTCAGTCAGGAGGACAAGAGTCAGGAGAGGTGGAGGGGATCATACAACTGGGGTCACAGTTTTATCCAACAGAAATTCTCATTGTGTCTCTTCACACTTTTTTTTCTCCAGAGTTGAGGATTAACCAAGGTGACATTCAGACGACACCCTTGGCTAATTTATTTCAGAATTTCAAGTAAATGCCCTACGAGGTTTTTAAAAATAGTGGTTTGGGGGCCAGGATTTCAACTCTGGTTCTGTTGCCTGCCTCACAAGCACAAGGACCAGGGTTCAATCTCCAGTACCCCTGTCCCCACCCCACCCCCGTAAAAATAGTGTTTTGTTTTTTTTCAGTTTTTGTAATCCAGAAAAGCCATGAATTTGTTTGCTCTGATGTGTTGTCTAGGATCATCATTAATCTTTGTTGACTTCCAAAAGCATCATATACCAAACACTCCTGAAAAATAATCATGTTTCTGAATTAAAGAACAGTATCACTTTTTTGATAATTGGGCAAATGGCAGGAAAAATAGTCCACAATACTCACGTTTATCTTTAGCTGTATGAATAACATAAAACAAGATACAATACATGAACAAATGTCACAAATCAGAGTGGGTATTAACCATGCTTTGGAGGACAAGGACGTGGACTGGCACAAGAAACAGGGGTGGGCAGTGGAAGGAATTATCCTGCCTCAGCCTTCTAGTCTTTCTAGTTTGCTGCCCTTGGAAACACTGGGAATATGGTTATTATATTATACAGGCTCCATTTTCTTTTCATTTCTAATAATCTTTTAAAATGTATGTCTTGAATCTTGAAAAGGTCTTCCATCTTTTTTTGGGGTGGTGCTGGAGAATGAACCCAAGGCCTCATGCATGCTGAGCATATGCTGTACCACTGAGTTATATCCCCGGCCCAAAAGGTATGTTTTATAAAATATGAATTAAAAATTAACTTTAAAAACCTGATGGGAGGCCGGGCATGGTGGCGCACACCTGTTACCCCAGCACTCAGGAGGCTGAGGCAGGAGGATCACTATGAGTTTGAGGCCAGCCTGGGCTATATGGTGAGATCCAGGTCAGTCTCAACTGCATAGTGAGAACCTGTCTCAAAAAACTAAAAAACAACAAAAAAAAAACCAAACTGATGGGGCTGGGGATTTAGTTCAGTGGCAGTGTGCCTGCCTTGCAAGTGCAACACCCTAAGTTCCATCCCTGGTACTGCAAAACAAAACAAAACAAAAACAAAAAAACAAACCCACCCCCCCAAAACCCGATGAAGCAGTAAATTAAAACAGCTTAGGCCAGGCGTGGTGGCGCAGGCCTGTAAACCCAGCACTTGGGAGGGAGGCTGAGGCAGGAGAATCTCTGTGAGTTCAAGACCAGCCTTGGCTACACAGTGAGTTC